ACCATTGAATGAAAGGCAGACCTAATGCATAAACTTTAACTGATATAAAATTATCATAAAATTCATATCTGCGCCTGAAACAGTGCAGATGTTAAAGAGGTTTTACAAGTATGCCTTTTAATGTGCTGTGACCTTTTTGACCTCAGATGACCCATATTCAATCCTGAACTGGAAATCATTCAAACAACCTTTCTGACCAATGTCCAGGATATTATATTTGGGCTAACCTGTACAGTGATAACAAGTTTTTTTTCCATTTTTGGTCTGTCTGAACTAGATTTTGACCTTGGATTACCCATGTTCAAAACTGAGCTAGAAAACAAATTTTCAGGAAATTTGGGATGAAAATAAAACTTCTAGAATGTTAACAATATTTTTCTATACTTTGGGTTGTGTGACCTAGGTTTTGTCCCCAGATTAGCCACATTACCTAGAAACCATCAAAACATTTTTTTGACTAATTTTCATGATATTTCTACCTTAACACTAATCCTCTACAGTGTTAGCAAGGTAGTTCTTCCATATTTCGGCTGTGTAACCTAGTTTTTGACCACAAATGAACTTTATTTGAACTTGAGCTAGAAATCATACAATTACCTTCCTGGCCAATATAGGATATTTGGACTAAACCAGTACTCTAAAGTGTTTATGAGCTTTTTCAATAATTGGGCAATATCACGGTCTTTTTGACCCAACATGACCCATATTCGAAATTGAGCAGAAACCGACAACCTTCAATTTTCAGGATATTTTGACTAAAACACTAGCCTCTTAGGGGTTAACAAAGTTTTTACATATTTGTGCTTTCAACCCCAGATAACCCAAATTTAAAACAGCCCTTGAAAACATCAAAACGACCTTTCTCACCAATTTCAGTTGGAACAGCAGGCTCTTGAGTGTTTTATCCATTTTGGAAACATATGCCCCCAGGGCGGAGCCAATTATGACCCAAGGGCTATAATTTGAAAATCTAAGAAGAGGGCTATCAGACAATGCCTTATGCTTAATATCTATGAAATAGGCCTTTTGGGTCTTTATAAGAAGATTGTTTCAATTTATTTTATAATTCCCTGGCAAACAAATTTCTGCATGGAATCAAAAATACATAGTGGAAATCAATGACAACCGGGGCGGTGCAAATTTTGACCCAAGGGTTATAATTTGAAAAGTTTTGTAGAGTTTTATTAGATAATTTTACACACAAAATATCTAAACTCTAGGACTTGCACTTTCAGAGAATAAGATTTTATAAGTTTTTACTACATGTACAAAATGAAAATCAATGACCACCGGGACCAGCCAATTTTGACCCCAAGGCTATACTTTGTTTTATAAGACGATGCTTCACATAAAATATCTAAGCTCTAGGCAATGCATTTTCAATGAAGAAGATTTTAAAAGATTTCATTTTAAAAATCTTTTGTTTTGGCCCTTGACCCGGATGTTCAATTAGCAGAAACATTTGAACAATTTTTGTTACGCTTTCTGTTATTTGGGGACCATACGCCGCTTCTCATGGAATGCGACGGAAGTGTCACATTGAGGTTTCAATGATAACCGCCGTATGAACACAACTGCGGATGTTTCTAAATCCAGAATTTTGCCATTTCATGTTTAAATGTTGAATTCTGCTAAAGAAGGTGCCAGGGGTCGTGGACGGTCGTTTGCACTTGACAGTAAAGTCCATGAACAAGCTCAATCAAACCGAGCCTGCAAAATTTTCAATTTTGCCGTGTTGGACTTTCTTTAGGGATTCTTAGTTTTTCTATTTAATACTAGGAACATCCTAGGAAAATCTTGAAAGTCAACATTATTGTCGTATTTGTATGTTTGTGATGATTTCATATCTTTATATTTGATCTTTTTTCTGGTTTGATAGTTCCAGTATTTCCATTTGAATTCAGTGTAATCACCCAAAGATAAGTTGCCTGTTCTTGTTCTTAAGCTCTCAATATGGTCGTTTCATCTCTTCTGTATCAATTTATCGCGCGACGCCAATTTTGCAGACAGGTCATGTTTTATACACATTATTTATGCTTATACACATTAAGTAGAGAATGGCAAAGTGATGTTAACTGCCAAATACCTAGGCTCTAGGACTGCTGTTGAGGAGAAGGGAAATTTTGTACAAAACAAGTCTATCTAAAGTAAGTGATCCCAAGAGGGACTAATTTTAAATAAATAGGAGAGGGAGGGTGAGTTTAATGAGGATTGCATTTGGGGGCCACAAGGTGGTGCTACTTTGCAAATATCAAGAAATAGCAAGAAGCTTTTACAGAATTCATTTTCAAGGAAATTTCTATGTCCTGTGACGTGACCTAACTATGCATCGGAATGGAAATCACATATCACTTTGATAGAGGATCTGCTAAGGATCATTTCTGTAAAGTTTTGTCCAAAGCTTATTTAAAGTATAGCAGGATCTAAAATGACAGCAGATATACCAATTGGAACGTCCTCGGCTATTATCTATAAAAACCTCGGAAACAATACGGAGTGAAAGTATACCTACCACGAGGTTTCAGATGTAAACAGAAATCTGTGATAATTTAAAACGAATGTTTATATTTGAAAACGAAGATAAAGTCTGTTTCGGTACAACCATTTTATATTTAAATATGCCCACTAATGTACACTTTTAAATAAATCCCACTTAATGTCAACAGGTTGGCATTTTGTACTTTCGGTTTTTACAGCCATTATAACAAGTATATAAATAATGTTTTGTTTGCTTTTGTATCTATGAAATTACTTGTATTAGGTTGACTTTTACTTGATATATGGGGTAAAAACATGTCAACAACTCCCATCAGTAAATTACTATTTGTTTACATGTTTAGTTTCTTAGCGTAGGTTAGACCGAAATACCGTATCAGTGCTGTATATTCATACTATTGTGTTCGAGGTCGTTATTCGAAGACTGACGGAAGGGCCGAAAAGTTTCGATTGCGGATATACTGCAATAAAAAAAATGAAAAAGAGAGCGACAATCACTTAAGGAAGTCCCTTACTAGCAAATACGTAATGAGGTCAAGTGGGACAAAGAGGTCAGTCTTTTTATATTCTTAAGAAGTTTTTTTTTGTATTTTAACCTGAAAATTTGTTATCATTACTAGTAATTAATAGTCGATCACTATTACTATAGTTAATTATCTTAAATATAAATAGCAACTTAAAAACGTTACAATGAACATCAAATAGAGAAAAACTGATTTCCTAAAGAACGAACCAAATTGAAAATGTTTAAAACTCGTTTCGATTGACCCGGTTTATGGGCGGTTTTGATATCTGCAAGCAACCGTTAAGACCCTGTATCAACGGCTTATTAGCAGAATTCAACAGTAAACGTCAAAATGGTAACATTTCAAATTCAGTCATAACTATAACAGATTTAATATAAAAAACAGTTTACAAATACGAAATGTGTTCAATTAATCATAAAACAATTTTAAAACCTGCCTTATCAATTACTCGCATGTGTTTGATTGCAACAGATGCTCAATCTGGCTTCCGTGACACCTTTAACGGAGATGAGATGGGAATATATATGATACACTATATGAATTAATTGTTTTCCACGAGTTTTTGTAAGCTAATATATAATATTATGTGTTTTAATTGTGTTTCATAATAATTAAATAGCTTCCATATGTGATCTTTTCAAAGTTCGCGTGACTTTTAAGCATTTGAAAAAAAAATCAGCACTCCAAAAAATCTCATAGAAGCGACAAAAGTGTAAATTATACATATGATTAAATATAAGCGTGCAGTGATCACATGTGTTGCTACATCATAGCCAATTGCATGTTTCAGCTACTGTTTAGCAGGAGACACAATTCATAAAACAGGGCAAAACCCGTTTTTAATTTAAGGGCAATAAGTTTGCAAAAAAAATCATTCAACAAAAAATCCGTGTAATATGGACAAGTACTTGAGCTACCAATCAATCCTTTAAAGTTTCAATAAAATTTCAATAGTGATATCGGGCAAGTCATTTAAGGGCCAAAAGTCAATGAAACAAAAACAAATGTCGATGATATGCACAACAAGACATAGTATTGATCATTCCTGTAAATATTGATGTAATTGCACCAGTGCTTTTTGAGGAGTAGTCCAGACAAGCACCTGTGTATCTGGCAACACAAAAACACACATTTTTTTTATTCAATGTCCACAACTCGGCCAAAATATTATCCGAGCCAAGCGCAAGTATTTGACCTACCGATTAATCCTGTTAAGTTTTATTGAAATTGTATTAGTGGTATAAGAAGAGTAGCTTTAGACAATCTGTAACAGTAAAATAACTAATGAGCCATAACTCCGAAAAAAACATTGAACCATAAAGAGCTGATGATATGCACAATCAGATTTGATACTGATCATTCCTGTAAAACACCAGTAGTTTCTGAGAAGTACGGACAAGCTTCTGGCAACATACCAAAAACATCTTTCATTCAAGGTCCATAACTCGGCCAAAGATCATTCAACCGAAAAACTAGAGTAATATGCGCAAAATCTTGAGCTACAGGTTAATCCTGTAAAGATTCATTGAAATTGCATTGGTGGTATAAGAGGAGTAGTAGTTCGGACAAACTTTAAAAATAATAATAATTAAAGAGCAATAACTCTGACAAAAATCATTGAACCGGAAAATTCCAGAGACTTGCACTTAAAGACATGGTACTGATCATTCATGTAAGGTTTTGATGAAATTGCACCACTAGTTTTTGAGGAGTAGTCCGGACAATATTTGGGGCGGATGGACAGTCAGACGACGGGGAAGTGATCCCAATATGATATTAATGTAAAATCTTGAAGAAAGCTGATCCCTCGCCTATAAAGAAAACCCAGTGATTGAGAGACTTCTCTACGGATGCATTGAATGACTTCAAATGGAAAAAGAGTCGCTGTCTTTTTTTCATATCTGGAACTCTGGGGATGTGTTATTTTCAAATTCAAAGGTTGTTGTGATTAAGTCATGTTTCAAAGAATAAACTTACAGTTTTTCTTTGTTGAAATATTGATTGAACACTTCAAACTCAGGGCATACTTGGCTTTCCAAATCTGCGGTTGTCTTTAAATAATCAGACAATCTCTCCCGTTCAGTATCATTGAAAACATCGAATGTTGTGTGAAATAATGCGAGAAGCATACTGAATGAAATAACTGTGGTATACTCTATGTCCCTTTTTTCTTCGGGTATGTTTGATATAATGTCTACACACTGTTTGCTAACCTGCAAAGGAATAAATATGGTCATTATAATTGATGTAAGAGAATAAGTCCTTCTGAAGGCCTCGTCAGTCATTTACTACATACGGTCAATCAATATATAATATGTACCATTCTGACATTTAAGGCACCTGTGACCTTAACCTATGACTTAATTCCCCTTAACTCAACGGGTTCATCACCTACATATGACCAATCAATATGTAAAAAATGAAGACATTGTGATAAATAGCTTTTAAGATAATGAGCGGAAACCCTTCTAACATTCAAGGCCCTTGTGACATTCCTGTTTGACCTAGTCACGACAAAATCAATATAGGTTATCTACTACATATGCAATTAATATATGACATATAAATACTTTGTCGAAATAGTTTTCAAGATAATAAGCGGACACGATTCTGACATTTAAGGTCCTTGTGACCTTGACATTTAAACAAGTGACCCTAAAATAAAAAGGGTCATTTACTACATATTACCAATCAAAATGTAAAATGGAATCGTCACAATTGCCGAATCACACGCTTGTCATAATACATTGTATCAAGTTAATTATTATGCATATTACGAGAATGCAGTATTTCATAGATTTTTTTCAAATGTTTGAATTATTTGTTCTACATTAATAAGAACTAAAGTTTGAATCTGAAGTTCATGACTTCTGTCAAAGGCAATACGCTATTTCTTTCTGCCATTTCTGCACTTTTACTCAGTGAGATCTATCTACCTACATAATTTTACATTTCATACCTTTCATAGTTCTGAAGAAATGTCCAGGACAAAAGTCTAAGTGTTAAAGTGACAACGCGCAATAACTCAAACAATAGGGTAGGGAGTGTTACGATTCTTACAAAGTTTAGTGTTAAACTATAAATGTGTCCAAAAGACACGGGTGCCCCCACACGCCACTGTTCTGTCAATCTTATGACTCTAGGTCAAATATGTTTTGGAATACATGTGCCACAAGTTGAAAACTAAAAATCTTTTAGTAAGTAAATGGCAAGAACTTTACAAATACTAAATAAATCCACAAGCAAACCCCTAGGTGCATAAGTACACATGCTGACCAACATTCTTGTAAACTTTCAGGCCTACAAGTCAAATACTTTTTGAGCTATGCATGAACAAGTTGAAAATTGCAAATTTATACTACTGTCAGTCAAGGGCAATAACTCTAACAAAACTGAAAAAAAATCCACAGTCAAAGTCCCAGGTGCATAGCTTCACAGCGATGATGATCGTTATTCCTGTAATTTAGTGATGTTGATCATTATTCCTGTAAAGTTGGTTGATTCTAACTCAAGCACTCAAGGAACAAATAATACAGCATTATGAAACGGTTTTTACTAAGTCAAGGGCAATAACTCTACAAATACTGGATAAATCCACAAGCGAAACCCAAAATGCACAACTACATTATGCTGAGCAACATTCCCGTAAGGTATCATGACTCTATGTCAAATCCTTTTTGAGTTACATGCGACACAAGTTGAAAATTGCAAATTTTTACTAAGTCAAAACCAAAAACTCTAAAAATACTAAATTAATCCACACGGAAATACCCAGGTGCACAACTACACATGCTGATCAACATTCATGTAAAGATTCATGACTCTTTGTCAATTTTTTTTGAGTTACATGCGACACACGTTGAAAATTGCAAAATTTTAATAAGTCAAGGGCAATAATTCTAAAATTACTATATAAATTGACACAAAAATGCCATGATGCACAACTACACTTGCTGATCAACATTTCTGTAAAGTTTCATGACTCAAGGTCAAATCCTTTTTGAGTTACATGCGATATAAGTTGAAAACTGCAAATGTTTACTAAGTAAAGGGCAATAACTCTATAAATACTTAACAAATCCAGACGTGCACATGCTGATCAACATTCCTGTCAGGTTTCATGACTCTAAGTCAAATACTTTTTGAGTCACGTGCGACACAAAAGAGAACGGACGGACGGATGGACGGACGGACGGACAAGGGTAAATCTAAATGCCCCCTCTAAAGTGGGGGCACAAAAATGGACAAAGAGCAAAACCTTCAAAAAAGAAGAGACAAAGTTATTGTTCTTAAGCACTGCACTTCTACTCGATGAGATTTATCTACCTACAAATTTTCGTGTTTATATCCCTTGTTACTTAAGAGTTATGGCCAGGACAAAGTTCAAAGTGTAAATAAACAAAGGGCAAAAACTCCAAAATTAGGAAAGGCAGAGTTAAGGTTTTTTTGCATTGCGTTTTTACCAAATGAGCTCTATCTACCTACAAAGTTTCTTGTTGACATCTCTTGTAGTTTTAGGTTTATTTCCTGGTCAAAATTCAAAATGGTAAAAAAGTGCAATAACTCTAAATGAGGCAAAGCAGAGTTGCTGTTCTTTTGCATTGCACTTGAACCAAGTCAGATCTATCTTCGTATAACGTTTCTTGTTAATACTCCTTGTGGATTTAGAGATATGTCCCGGACAATGATCAACGTTTAAAAATTAACAAAGGGCAATAACTTAAAAATTAGGGGAGGGGGGTTACGGTTCCTTGCATTGTATATCAATTCAATTCAGTGAGATCTATATACCTATAAAGTTTGAAATTGATACCTTTTATAGTTCTCAAGTTATGCCTCGGACAAAGTTTAAAGTGTAAAAATGAACAAAGGACGATAACTCCAAAATAACCCAAAATTAAGGGAAGGTAGAGTAATGGTTCTTTTGCACTGCACTTCTTCTCAGTGAGATCTATCTACCTACAATGATTACTGTTGATACCTCTTGTAGTTTTAGAGTTATGTCCTCGGACAAAGTTTAAAGTGTAAAAATAAACAAAGGGCAATACCTCCAAACGTAAACAAGGCAGAGTTATCGTTCTTTTGCACTGCACTGCTACTCAATAAGAATTATTTACCAAAATATGTTCTTGTTAATACCCCTTGTCGTTTAAGAGATATGTCCCGGACAAAGTTCAATGTGTGAAATAAACAAAAAGCAATAACTCCAACATCAGGCAAGTCAGAGTTACGGTTCATTCTCACTGCACTTCTACTAAATGAGATCTATATGCCTACAAAGTTTCTTGTAAAAATATTCCCCTTTCCCTATTACAGTAATGTCTCGGACAAAATTCAAATTAAAAAAATTCACAAGTGCAATATCTCTAAACGACTAAGAAGAGTTACGGTTCTTTTGCATTGTAATTCTGCTGAATGAGATCTATCTTCCAACAAAATTTGAATTTAAATCCCTGTGATATTGACCTTTGACATATTGATCCCAATATCAATAGGGGTCATTCACTACATATAAACAACAATATGTGAAAAATGAAGACTTTGTATTTAAAAGTTTTCAAGATAATGAGCGGAAACCATTCTGACATTTAAGACCACTGTGGCCTTGACTTTTGAACAAGTAAATGCAATATATAAATTGGGGTCTTTTACTACATATGACCAATCAATATGTGAAATATCAAGACTTTGTTATAAATAGTTTTCAAAATATTAAGCTGAAACCATTCTGACATTTCAGGCACCTGTGATCTTGACCTAAGACCGAGTTACCATAAAACCAATAGAGGGTATCTTCTATATATGACCATTCGATATGTGAAATATGAAGACTTTGTGATAAAAAGCTTTCAAGATAATAAGCGGGTACCATTCTAACATTCAAGGTCCCTGTGACATTGATGTTTGACCTAGTGACCCTTAAATTATTAGGAGTCATCTTCTACATATGGCTAATCAGTATGTGAAATATGAAGACTAAGTGATGAACAGCTTTCAAGAAAATGAGCGGAAACCATTCAGACATTTAAGGCCCCTTTGGCCTTGTTCCTAGCTTTTCAATTTAAGCATGACAAATCTACAATTAAATAGCTAGAGCTTCTACTTTTGGCATGATACATTGTCTAAATGACTTCAATCAAGGTTGTTCAAATTATAGTCCTTGGGCAAATTTGGTCCCGCCAAAGGAATTGATTTTTTTTTCTATTAAATAGTTATGGTACAAAACATTTTTTTCCAAATCTACAAGGCCTAAGGCATGTTAAACGTTGCAAAATTCAATAAATCTATTTTTTGGTCTACGTATATCCAATATTTAAATTGTATAACTCTAATTTCATATTCTGTACCATAATATCTAGAATCACAATTTTGTAACACTAAGCATATTAGGCCCCTCCTATAAATTGAGCGCGAAAGCGTTATCATCATGATTAAAAGTGGAAATGATCAGTGTCACTGTGAATGTCACTAATAAATAGTACATATGCTTAATCCCCCTTATAAATATATGCGTGTGTCTATAAAAAGGAAATAGATTTTAAAGTTTTCAGGACAACCAATCGTATAATAATGGTTTTTCAAATGCTTATAATTTAACCACCATATGAACCTTTGTGAGGATAGCATGTAAGATGACTAAAGGATTATCTAAATGTTCAAATACTCTTTTTCATATGAAAAATATATGTGGAATTACATATGAGAACCAAGAGATCATCTGCATGAACATAAACTCTAGTTTTTAATATAAGATATAGGAGAGGATACGTAAGATGAGCAGAAGACCATCTAGATAGATGAACATGTATGAGGTGATTAGGTAAGATAAAAAGATAAAGTTGTGGGTTTTGGATGATAACTCTAAAAAAATATATCCTCCTCAATTATTTATGTTACTTAAGAATTAAAGTTATGAAAGTTATGAAGGCATGAACAATTCATACATATTCAAGAATAAAAAAAGAGCATGATCCTCTGGTCACCTCACATGATCCTCTAAACAAGTTCAATGTGAACTAAAGTATATGAACAACCTTGGAGTCTTCCATGAACCTCTCGTACATAATTCTAAAATTAATTAAGCATGTACATCTAGATAACCCCCTGGTCATCTTACCTAATTCCCTTATTTAATTTTTGTGTATTTGTACATTTAGATGATCCGCTAGAAATCTTATGTGATCTATTCATACATGTTTGAACAGATCTAAAG